GCACACAGCTCGACTTCGCTCCGCTTGCCAATTCCTTTCGGCCAGCACCAAGAATCCCGACGGCGCTGCCCCGAGAAAAGAAATGCGCGTCTGAAAAGCCGATGTGCCTAGCTCAGTTGACACACCGAGGATCTCTCGAAACACGGGCGGGGGGGTGAAATCCTCCTAATTATCTGGGCCCCGCCGCGCCACGCCACTTGCGAAATGAAAACCTAGAAAAGCCATGGGTCGAGGTCCACGAAACCTAAAAAAGCTATCGAGGGCCTACCGGTAGTGGCGCCATTCACGACCGAGTGCGCTACTGATCCGACAGTACTGTGTACCGCGCACGGCGCGCGAGCGCAGCCCGGAGGGAGCGAGGGCACATTTGCAGTCGCAGGTAAGGCCCGGCCTGAGTTGTGTTAGTTTTTTGTTGGGTGAAGGCATGAACGGCCGCCTGCAAATGAGAATGATTTTATTGATCGTATAGCTCGCAGCCTGTAAGGGCTGCGTTTACCGCCGTTGGCTTTTTTCGTTTTGTGTCAACCAAGGCACTGCAAACGATGTTACTTTTGCAGCCATGGCACATAGCAGGGGTCTTGGACAACGCACATGGCTGCGTTTACCACCACCGTTGGCTTTTTTCGTTTTGTGTCAACCAAGGCACTGCAAAAGATGTTAGGGGTCTTGGACAACCCACATGGCTGCGTTTTTTTGTGTCAACCAAGGCACTGCAAAAGATGTTACTTTTGCAGCCATGGCACATAGCAGGGGTCTTGGACAACGCACATGGCAGGAGAGTGGTTCTCTATTTTACAGGAATATGACAGGCACAAGCAGCGGGTTAAAGGAAGACGGTTAAAGGAGGACACTTACAACCAGAGTGCAACGCAAAACTAGATTGGTGTGATCAACGGATGGGCAAAGAAGAGTACCAAAAGCAACCGAAGTTTGAACTGTCTCGAAGCTACAATCATGACAGACAGGCGGGGGCCCAATGCGCCGGCAGTGAACAACGAAAAAACAGGGTGAGCTTTGTCTTCAAAATGGGCATGCCTGAGGAGGATTTTGCACCACAGTGTTGGTGTGAGAGCGAAGCTGTAGCAGCGCCCGGGATGGGCAGGCATTGCCGGCTAGGGAACACCCGCAGTGGTAGTGGGGAGGTCTGCGAGCAGTCGGTGCCCCACATCCCACATACTCTGTATCATCTCTTTCTTGGCCTGACTTTTTCTACGAAGCTCTGGACATGATTCCAGTGAGATGCATCGAAAAATTCTACCCTACAGTAGTCCACAAGCCTGAATCTCCAGACATGGGGCCTCGCCGCACTACTCTCGAAATGTGCAAGACGAGA